CACTAACACACACACACAACACACACGCACACACACAACTTACACACACGCGCCACGCACACACACACACCACACACACACCCACACAAGCCACACAACACACAGCACACACACACACACACACGCACACACCACATTAGCAGCACAGCGCGCAACACACACACACACACCACACACAACCACACACACACACACACACGACACGACACGCCATGCGCACTCACACCCACAACACACACTAGCACACCACACACACACACACACACACACACACACACACACCACGCCAAATAGTACCTACACTACCGACGCGCGGCATCATACTATCACTAACGCAACTCAACTAAGCTGTGTGCTGTGTGCTATTAGATACAACATAACTCACGTTTCTGCCTCGCATACTGTATTGACGTTTACCCATGCCTTTATATTTGTGACGCTGCTTGCATATGTTAATAGCGTGGAATCACTTTCAACGCTATCAACTGTAAAATGCTAATCTTTGTAAGGACGATTAAACATAATTTCAGCTATAATATAGCTCCGTTAACGACAATTGCACATTTTACGTTATCCGACTCTCTCTATTTGTCTCACATCACTATAGTCTCTTAACGCCATACTCTTCGCCTATCCCTTTCTCTGTCTCCCGGCCTCCTATACACTCTCTCTCTTCTCTCTCTCTCTCTTCTCTCTCTCTCTCTCTCTCTCTTCTCTCTCATCTCTCTTTCTCTCTCTGCCGCATCTCGCCTCTCTCTCTTCTCTCTTCTCTCTCTCTCTCATCTTTTCCTAACCCACCTCTCTCTCCTCTTCTCTCGTCTCTCTCTCGCGCGCGCGCTCTCTCTCTATCCTCTCTCGTCGTCTCTCTCTCTCTCTCTCTACTCTCTCTCTCTCTAAAATTGGAATAGGCTACGACATGTAACTATGAAGCTACTATCTTCAGCTTCAGATCCAAGACTTGCGTCTTCGTCGCGAGGCCGCGTTGTGAAAAAGGTTGCTTATCAGCTCAAAAAGTGATGTAACATTACAGTGATATATTGCCTCCTCTTCACAATAAATGTGGTCTACGCATAACACGCGGAATCTATAAACTCCGGCTTGCAAAAGTCTCCGCTACACAGGCCGCGTACTTCAATAGCCATGTTCCCGTACATCGTGCAGTCGATGATTACACAATTGTAAGAACAGGCACTGCATTTTTTTACAATAGCATGCGATAATAAGTCTTTTGCTTGCGCCCCTTATAAACAGTTTGCGTCTCTTTGAAATAACTCTTGGAACAACTTTCGGTTATGTTGATATGTTTGATTCTATCATTGCTGTCGCATTTTAATTTTAACTATTGTTTGCCAAGGATCACGTTATTTGTAATTTAGCTATATATTCTAAGATGGTTTAGTTTTAAGTGCGTATATACATTTTGAACCAACATTTCTAAGTATAATATCTATGTCTTACCATGGACAGTATATTATTGTAAATATCATCAATTTCGAGTTGCATACGCTGATGATAATCTTGTTTGCAAATTTAATTTCAATTTAACGTTGTTAACACTAGTTTTTGCCAATAAACCTATTATCATATCTATCTACTATCTATCTATCTTATCTATCTATCTATCTATCTATCTATTTATCTATATCTCCTCTCTCTCTCTCTCTCTCCTCTCTCTCTGTCTCTCTCTGCTCTCGCTCTTCTCTCTCTCGCCTACTCTCTCTCTCTCTCTCTCTCTCTACCTGGCTCTCTCTCTCTCTCTCTCCTCTCTCTCTTCTGTCTCTCTCTCTCTCTCTCTCGTCTCTCTCTCTCTCTCTCTCTCTCTTTCTCGCTCCCTCCCTGCCTCTATTCTTTTAGCTTACGTTCTCTCTTTCACTATTGCTCGCTGTCTATATTTTCCCATTGCGGGTTGCCTTGCCTTCTCCTCTCCATGTCTCACCTTTTTTGTCCCACTCTTACCCTCTCTCTCCCCCTCTCTCTAATTTAAGAGTTTATTATTGTACGGATACTATCGAGTAGTTTTGTGAAACTCTCTCCACCGGGCAATCAAGCATGATAAGAGCACTATATCGAGCCACTGCTAACGATGTGCGTGTAATGCACACATAGAATATAGTTGGCGCGTGAGCAACCCAACTACGGCAAGTGCTTGCATTACAAAATGATGCTAGAATGATGCTTGGCGCAGTGAGGCCAACCAAACTACGCAAGGTTTGCTTTACAAATGTTGCTAGAATATGTTGGCCGCAGAGAGGCCAGTGTTGCTTTACCGCCATCAGCGTCTGCGGAGGAACAATGCGCGTCTGACTTACGCAAAGTGTAACGGTTTAAATCTGAGATTCCAACGGACAATAAAATAATCTCTGCGGCGATACAGAGATATATATCTCGCCTCTATATATCTCGCTTTATATTATCTTCATCTATATATCTCGCCTCTATATATCTCGCGGCTATATATCTCGCTTCCATATGATCTCGCCTCTAATATAATCTCGCTCTTATACTATTCTCGCTCTATATATTCGCTTCATATATATCTCGGCGGTCTATATATCTCGCTTTTATATATCTCGCTCTAATATATCTCGCTCTATAGTATCTCGACCATTATATATATCTCGCTTCTATATTTATCTCGCTCTATATATCTCGCCTCTATAATAACTCACTCATATATATCTCTCTCTATCTGATCTCGGTCCATATATCTCGCCGCTCTAATCATATCTCGCTGCTATATATCTCGCCTCTATATAATCTCGCTCTTAATATATCTTGCTCTATAATATCTACAGTTCTATATATCTCGGGTCTATATATCTGCTCGTATATAAATCTCGCTCTATAGTATTCTCGCCTTATTTACTCTCGTTCTATATATCTTCGGAATCTACTATCTCGCCTATATAATCTCGCTCTAGATAGTCTCGCTCTATTAATATCTCGCTCTATATAATCTCCTCTATAATATTCTCGCCTATTATATCTTGCTCTATATATCTTGCTTCTATATATCTCGCTCGTATATATCTCTTCTATGTATCTCGGTCCTATATATCTCGCATCTAATATAATCTCGCGTCAAATATAACTCGCTCTATAATCTCGGTCTATAACTATCTCGCTCTTTATATCTCGCTCTATATTAGCTCGGTCCATATATCTCGCTGTCTGAATATATTCTGCCTCGTATATATCTCGCCCTCTATTTTTTCGCCCTCTATATATCTCGCTTTATAGTATCTCACTCTATTTATATCGCTCTATATTTCCGGTCCTATCATATCTCTTAATATCTCTAATAATCTCGGCGCGACCGTTATCGCGCGGGTGACCAAACTCGCCGCGACTTTTTAGCCTGCAGTCACTTTTAAAGGGTGGAAAACAAACTGCGAGCTTTCGCCTCTAATGCGCAGCACTCGACTAATGCCCGGCTGCATGCCAACCGCTCGTAAGTGCTCAAACATTTTACCTCGACCAACTGCAAGCCGTCCGCGCTTTATGCAGTCTCTCCGCGGGGGGGGGGGGGGGGGGCCGGGGGGCGGCGGGGGGGGGGGGGAGGCGGGGGGGGGGGGCGGGGCGGGGGGGGGGGGCGGCGGAGGGGGGCGGGGGGCGGGGGGGGGGGGGGGCGGGGGGGGGGGGCGCGGGGGGGGGGGGGGGGGGGGCGGGGGGGGGGGGGGCGGGGCGGGGGGGGGGCGGGGGCGGGGGGGGGGGGGGGGGGGGGGGGGGGGGGCGGGGGGGGGGGGGGGGGGGGGGGGGGGGGGGGGGGGGGGGGGAGGGGGGCGGGGGGGGCGCGGGGGGGGGGGGGGGGGGGGGGGGGGGGCTCACTGTCGACTAATTTACCGTCGCGCCTGGGACGCAGCTACTATTGTTCAGTCTACCGACCATATCATGTAGGATAGTTAGCTAAGTTCACTGGAACACCTATAGGATAGTTAGCTCGCTTTCTTAGATAATAATATTATGATAGGTTAGCTCGGTTTTTAGATAATAATTTTACTGATACTTAGCTCCGTTTACGGTGACAATATAGGATGGTTAGCTAAGTTGTGGCATGAAAACAATCGGAATATTAGCTTAGCGATGTCGCATTAGATAAAAATATAAGAATAGTTAGCTAGATGACGATTTAGGATAGTTTTAGCGTTAGTTTGGTGGCAAGATGTCTTCTAGCAAGCTTAGCGGCTGCTTCCCGCTAAGTAGAACTCACGTCTCTCTGTAAGTCATGTTACAACACACGTACGTGTGAGTGCTTTTATTGGACATTAGTGTGTCGCTATAAGGTAGTTCATACTATCATTGCACGTATATCTTACTGGCACGCCGAATCGATGAGGTCATTAGTATGAGCCAATGCAGGGCGATATCAATATGCTGTAGGCATTATTAAATCGAATATCAGCTCCAGCCCTTCCTTGTGCGTCGAACGTAAGTGAGCTTACATACTATTGTGATCCTATAGCAACGGACTGATGCAAGCCGTGTCCCCCTGGTTCAGCCCGTTAGACACTCCTAAGATCAGTTTCGATAAAAAACCCCTGTGTGTGTGTGTGTGTGTGTGTGTGTGTGTGTGTGTGTGTGTGTGTGTGTGTACATTCAATTTACAGGTAAAAGTTAAACCGCGGTTCCAAAGCCTTACATTCCCAAGCTTTACACTTATATATACCGCTTGCAATTACAGGATGAACAATTATCCGACCGCTTATGATTGTATATACATGTTTATTTATTTATTCATACATATAAAGATGAACGTAAAATTAGTAAGTAAAACAACCGGCTTACCTCGTGGTGTTCCTGATTAGCTCTGCATCGGGTTGCTATGGAAACAAGAGCGCACGTAACGATGAGGAATTTCGCCATGTTGTCGTTCTCGGGATTGTTTCGATGACGCTTCTTCGCTTCCCGCTCTACTCAGCTCCTCTCTGATTTTACGCTTCTCGTTTCTCTCGTCTGTCCGGCGAGCTGCTCTCTGCTGCTGGTTCCGTCTGCTCTGACTGTCAATGGAGCGCCCCGCCAGTACCAGGTTCTCTTAAATACGGCGCCCGCCGCGCAGTAGCATAAGCGCATATCCCACGTCTTACCGACCGCGGCGCGCATACGCTGTTCTTGCACTGACTGCGCGCGCGACGCGCACCGTCTTCTGATTGGTTGCGTTGCCACTGACGTGATACGTGGGCTGTGTACACTATTGTCGCCGTGTCATTTTGTGAGGGAGCGCGGATGATAGGGTGAGTATACGTGGGTGTGTGGGGTAGAATACGGGAGCGTGCACGCGCACGACCTTGATGACGCACCGTCGCAAATTGTCCATCTTTGGCGTGTGACGAATAAGTCTGTTTCGGCCTGAATGTGAATCAATCAAAGCTGCGATAGAACAACAGAATTATAACGGATTTGTGCGCTCGAATGCGGAGATATATAGACCGTGTGTTTTGGCGAGTGCGTAAAATGCTAGATGCATAACAGAAACATACATTAACAAACACGAAATTATGTCCCCGTTCAACATGCTGCCTCAACGTCACTTGTCATATCCTCATAGCGAGTGTATCTGTCGATTATTATACAAGTTATCTATATGGATGGATATTTTATCATACTAACACGTCCTCTTAAAGTTTGGTTGCCGTGTGCAATTAATGTTTAGTTTTGCAGTAGTTTTGATTGCACATGTATTCTAGACCTGCGCAACATGGCGACCGCCAACGTCGAACGACCTTTTAGCTAACAATTTGGAAACCCTACAACTCCTAAATCGTGAAATATATTAGCATAAAGCTGAATTGAGCAAGAGAATCAATGCCTAATAACATGCGTTTAATCTACGTTTCTAATAAATTCGTAAAGTTCTAATCTATGTTGTATCCACAAGAGCTTATTCGTACCTGCGCTGGAGGCGGAAAGCTGCTGGAAGGTCAGAAACACGGTCGCAAAACTTACAGCACCGCAGTCTTGATTGATGCATCAGATACAAGGTGTAGATATAGACATAAAAGTAATATTCTGGAATATATATATATATATATATATATATATATATATATATATATAGATAGATAGATAGAGATATAGAGAGAGGGGAGAGAAATTTTACGTTTAATTCCTATTTTAGGAAAGGAAAAACTTAATAATCTATATTATATATAAATCACTATTATATTGATATTTGCGGAGCCAGTTTGGCAGTTCACACATTAAACACTAACGGTTTTGCCATAATTCGTAATGGCCGCGCTACTCATGATGAGTTATCATAAATCAAGTCATTGATGGATTCCTTAATTGCTTATCAACACATTGCGAACGAGGCTAATAAAATAAACAATGGGTTTCATTTACATAGCCGTGGGCGATAAATTACGCGAACAATATTGGGCCATATCTGTCAACGTTGTTCCCTTGATAGATTGAAAACTGTTACACGCTTTAATTAACTGTTAGCTTTGGGCGTCAATGTTTGACTTAAATGACTAGCGTTGAAATGCAAGCCGGCCTGTCAGGCATAAAGAAAAGTGCTTCGTGGAATACGATATTCTGCAAGTCACAAACGTATATAGGCATCACAGCATGGAAAAGCGTTTTTTCAAAGCGTCATACTGAATACGTGAGTTTTGAATAATAACTGGTTTGGCGAACTGGTGACACTTTCATTAGCACATCGAAATGTTTCTAATAAGCGAGTCAATTTAAACGAAACACTTCAATGCCGCGCAGCACCTTCTAAATTCCGGTCAGCGACTTCTAAAATGTGCGATTCTCACTTTTTCCTCGCACGAAAACAAATCGCAAATCACAACCACTACAGTCGTCGTGAATTTTTTACAACCTGTGCATTCTCTCTCTTGGTATGGTATGGTATGGTATGGTATGGTATGGTATGGTATGGTATGGTATGGTCTGGTATGGTATGGTATGATATGGTATGGAGTGGTATAGTGTGTATTGAAAAATAGAATAGAATAGTACAGGGTATACTAACGACACATGTATAGTATTGTAAATAAATAATGTAGCCTACCATAAGTATATATAACCATTTTACTAACATTTCAATTAAACACTTAAAACTTTCATTAATTAACTTTATATCTTGTTAATAATGAGTTACATATTGCATCTAGTTTATTTCTCAATAACAAAATTGATATAAAACAAAACAGGGATGGATAAAAGATTTATTATGAAATTGCGATAACGCATGTACCAATATATTTGTCAACCGCAATTGCTATTGATAACATTATTAGTATTTAATCGAACGCAAAACTGTTTTAGGCATTCAGTGTAGCGTTCATATAAACCTGACGTGATTAAATGCATTCGATGTAGTTTCAAGGCACACATGCGGAACTGACTGCCTCACTGGAAACCACCGACTGCATAAATATTACTCTACAATCTTAATGCGCTGGCGGAAGATTTACAAAGGTACGGTAATCAGCTGTGTTACGCCTATATTGATGCAATTATGCGTCATTATATTTCCCACCCCAGTCCGTATGCTATAATCACATATATGTAAGCTCACCTTACGTTCGACGCACAAGAAGGGCTGAGCTGATATTCGATAATAATCCTACAGCATATTGATATCGCCTGCATTGCTCATACTAATGACCTCATCGATTCGCGTGCCATAGATATACGTGCAATATATATGAACTACCTATACGACACTAATGTTCCAATAAAGCACTCACCGTACGTGCGTTAACGTGACTTACAGAGAACGTGATTATACTTAGCGGGAAAGCAGCCCTAGCTTGCTAGAAAGACATCTTGCTACCTATAACCTAGCTAACTATCCTAAATCGTCACCTAGCTACTAACTATTCTATATATTATTATCTAAGACATAGCTTACTATCCGATGTTTTCATCCACAACCTAGCTAACCATCCTATATTGTCACCTAAAACCGAGCTAACTATCATAAATTATTATCTAAAACCGAGCTAATTATTCTATATGATGTTCCAGAACTTAGCTAACTATCCTACATATATAGTCGGTAACTAACAATATAGCTGCGTCCCAGGGCGACGTAAATAGTCGACAGTGTCGAGAGACTGCATAAACGCGACGGCTTGCAGTGGTCGAGTAAAATGTTGACACTTACGAGCGGTGGCATGCAGCCGGGGCATTAGTCGAGTGCTGCGCATTAGAGCGAAAGCTTCGCAGTTTTTTTCACTTTTAAAAGTGACTGCAGCTAAAAAGTCGTGCGAGTTTCGGTCACCCGCGCGAACGTCGCCGCAGAGATATTAGAGATATAAGAGATATTAGACCGAGATATATAGAGCGAAATAAATAGAGCGAGATATATAGAGTGAGACATATCGAGCGACATATATAGAGTGAGATATATAGAGCGAGATATATAGAGCGAAATAATAGCGAGATATATAGAGTGAGTTATATAGAGCGAGATATATAGAGCGAGATATATAGAGCGAGATATATAGAGCGAGATATATAGAGCGAGATATATAGAGCGAGATATATAGACCGAGA